ACTTTGAAAATTAAAGCTCACTGAAAAGTTTCAAGAATTGTGCAACAAACAACTGTATTATTTCTCACCTAGATTCACCAACATTTTGTCATATGCTGCTGTTGTTGTGGTAAAGTGCCATCAAGTTGGCTTCAACTCATTACGACTCTATATAGGGTTTCCAAGAGCAGCTGGTGGGTTTGAACTACCGAACTTGCGATTAGCAATCCAGTCCTTATCTTATAGTGCCACATTAAATACTCCTAAATACTTCAGTATGTATCTCCTAAAAACATGGATAATTCAACATAACCAAAATATAATTATTTTCAGAAATTTTTGCATTGGACTCCTGGTGTAGCACTGTAGGATCAGAACTGACTAGACTGTGAACTACAAGGTCAGCAGTTCAAACCCACCAGCTGCTCCTTGGAAACCCTATACAGGGTTGCTATGAGTCGGGACCAACTCAACAGTACTTAACAACAACACAACGACAGTATTAACAATACAGTCTATATTCACAGCTCCCCAATTGTCTCAATAATGCCCCTAATAGACATATTTTTAAAATGTTTTCTTCAAGGTCCAGTTTAGAACCACATATTGCTTTTTGTTTCATGCCTTTCTTTTGTTTCCTTTAATCTAGATTAATTCACGGTCCTTTTTCTTAATCTTTTGGCAAGAATACCACATTTGTGTCCTTCTTTGTACATGCTATTGGGGATACATAATGTAGTGTGTACCCTTCCTGGTACTGTTAAGTTTGATCAGTGAATGATTTCTTTGGTGTAAAGGCACACTTTACTTTTCATGCTTTAGTAAATAATCTGTGGGACAATACTTAGAAACAGTATAAATATTCTAAGCAGTCATCATTCACTGATAATTATGCCTGAATCAATTATATGATGGCTCCAAATGGTGATTTTTGTTTCCATAATTTCTTCTACAGTTATTGGTTAGTATTTTAGGAGTAACACTCTGAAAAACAGAGAAAAGACTGAAGTTGTCAAGGATTTAATTTTTCTTGGATCCACAATTAATGCCTATGGAAGCTGCTAGCAGTAAGCAAAGGAAATCAACTGACTTAATGCATTAGGCAAATCTGCTACAAAAGACCTCTTCATAGTGTTGAAGAGCAAAGATGTTACTTTGAGGACTCAGGTGTGCCTGACCCAAGCCATGGTATTTTCAATCATCTCATATGCATGTGAAAGTTGGACAGTGAATAAGGGAAAATGAGAAGGAAGTGATGCATTTGAATAGCGCCATTGGTGCTGGTGAAGAATAGTGAATTTCTGTGGACTGACAGAAGAACAAACAAATCTGTTTTGAAAGAAGTATGGCCAGCCTGTTCCTGAGAAGCAAGGATGGTGAAACTTTGTCTCTTGCCCATTATCAGGAGGGGCCAGTTCCTGCTTAGGAGTCCTGGTGTGAGGCTGCAGGGTAATGCACTGGACTGCAAGGTCGGTTTGAACTGCAAGGTCAGCAGTTCAAACTTACCAGTTGCTCCTCAGAAATGGTATATAGGGTCGCTATGAGTCGGAACAGACTCGATGGCACTTAACAACAACAAAGGAGTGGTAGTGGTTAAGTGCGGTGGTGATGATTAAGTGCTGTGACGTAGGTTCTAACTCACAATGACCCTGTATAGGGTTTCCAAGGAGTGGCTGGTGGGTTTGAACCACTGATCTTGAGGTTAGCAGTCCAATGTTTATCCTACAATGCTACACTAGGACTCGATAAAATGGAGGGTCACTGAAAAAGAGGAAGACCCCTAATGAGATGGATTGACACAGTAGCTGCAACAATGGGCTCAAACACAACCGTTGTAAGGATGATAGCGGACTAGGCCGTGTTTGGTTATTGTGCATGGGATCCCTAAGAGTTTGGCTGGCTGGAAGGCACCAAACCACCACATCCAATCTTCGTAAAGAAGAGTCACCTTCTCATCCTGCCTTGAATTATCATCTATCTCTATTTGAGTGATCTTGAAGAAATCACTTACCCTTCTCTTCACCAATGTTTTCTCATCCTTAAGATGAGATGACCTAAGGGTCCACATTCTTGAATTCTAGTTAGTCTATGATGAAATTCCCATAAAGTCCTACAAAAGCATCCGCCCACGAAGGAACCGGTCTGGATCAAGTCTCAGCATCCATCAGTCTTCTTTATCCGCCTCTTTCGGGTTCCTCCCTTGGTAACAGTAACTAGGACCCTCCAGGCGTTCTCGCGAGATGGGATTCCCTTCCCGGGACAAAGTGCAGTCCCAGGTCCAGGCCAACACCACGTCAACGCCCCCCTCCCCCCCCCCCATCCCCGAGCCACCTGCGCGATGGGCCCTCCTGCGCACGCGCTCATATGAAGCCAGACAGTTGGTGGTGTTTGTTCATCCCAGCTGTTCTTTTTCCCCTTCCCAGACTGGCCACCAGCGAATCCCGCCGGACACTACAGCGCAAACTCAGGGTGGGAGGAGGTGGGGCGCGCAGGCGCTGCGGTGGGAGTGAGGTCGCGCAGGCGCGGGTGGCGTTGGTTTGAAGAAGACCTTCAGCGTTGCCCTGGCGGAGCGGAGACAGGCCCTCTGGTTGGAGGTGAGAGGAGCCGAGGCCAGGGACCAGTGCGACTGGTGGGAGGGCTCAGAAGAGTGGTGGGTCGTGACAGAGCATGGGCCCTACCAGAGACTGACCTAACGGAGGGTTCGGGGCGGGACTGAGCAGTCTAACGGGGCACGAGAGCGGCGCGGGCGGAGGGGGCGCTGGTCCTTGTATGGGACCTGGCTCCCCTTGTCGCCTCAGGTGATGGCTCCTGGCAGTCAGTCCCAGGTGGTGGTGCCAGCGCTGAGCCTCGACCTTCCTCCTGCGGGTATCTGGATAGGACTTTCTTTTCAGGTGTCAGGCTAAACAGACTGATTTCTAGGGAAGTTGGATCCTCGAACCCCAAACCCATTCCTCTGTTTCTAGCGTCCTCTCTGGAATTGCTGGTAAACACCAGGGAGGAGCGATTCTATTCCTTGCGACCAAAGGGAGGGTGCTATACGTGCAATTTATAAAGGAAAAATGAGGAACAAAAGAGCTCTTTGCTGATTGTCAAGTTAGTAATTGTGTAAATTCATTTTTATCAAGTTAAGTTTTCCCCCTCCTGTATGCATCTCATGCAACATCCATACGCTGTGCAGATCTGCAAACAATAAGTGCATTTGTGGAGCTAATAGAAATTTGTAAATATACTTTACTCCCAGCACCATGAAGTCGTCTAGTTTTTAGCTTGATCATACCAGCAATGCATTTTCCATTAGTATAGTGGGCCTGGCAAAGTCATCTTAAAATAGACAGAATTGAGATTCGTTGGTAAACTAAACCAACTATGCAACTTTTTCAAAATATCTGGCTGTGGTTTCGAAAAACTAACAAAGCAGAATGCTAAAAGATTATAATTAGTCCTTAAATGTATGGTTGCACAATGTATATATGGTTTTGTTTCTTTCTATTCCATCTTGGCAGTAGAAGAAAAACCAAAATGTAAAGGCTTACCATTTCTATTTGAACATATAGTGTCAGCTTTTCAAATTTTCCAAATTGTGATAATAATAAACAATAACATCAAGTTGGGAATATACAAATATGAAAAGTCTAGAATGATCATTTGAGTATAAAGTTTGGATTGTAAAGTAATTACTCTGGAGGTGAACTCTGAAACTTTGTCACTTCAGAGCAAAGTTTTATGATTATATGGGTCAGTGTGTTTATACATAATGTTCTAACTCCTTCCTCGTAACTTTATATCATCCTGCCTATCATTTCACAGGTTTTGGATAAGGCACACGTTTAAAATAAATTCACAGTTGACAAGTGATTCATCATTATATGTCATGTTCTGTATGATGGTATTTACAGGAAGAAATTTAGCAGAAGTTTAGATGAAAAGTTAGGCTAAATAGAAAAAAATAGTTGTAGTGTGTAGATAGATAGTTCAGGTATAGGAATTGCAAAGATTACCTGGTATTCCTGAACTCTTAAATGTCAAAGTAATTGGGCAAATAGGGCTGTTTGAGATGTTTCTGTAATTTATTAGACATGGCTTTGGAGTTGGCCTGATGAATGCAACAGAACCTCTTTCAGGAAAAGATTTTCCAGGATACAAAGATGGTAAAGGAAAGGCATGTTCTGACTTGTAAATTTTTCAGGAAGCAGACTGCCACAGCTTTCTCTTATGAAGTGGCTGGTGGACGCAAAACACAGACCTTTTGGCTAGCTGCTGAACACCCAACCATTGCACCAGCAGGGCTCCTGAAATGTAGATTACCTTCTCAGAATTGACATGTGTCTCACTCATATTGGCAGCAGAAAAGTTGGCTGAATACAAAGTAGGCAAGATGAAAAGTCAAGATGTCTTGGATTTTTGAAGGCTTCTGCTTTGTTCACACCAATTTTGGTAAACATATTATGTAGACAGAATTCATCCTATTTTTTGGTTAATATTTAAGATTATAGCACTTCATTTAAAGAAGAGCTTTGAGAGAAGGCATATTCTGGATGAAACACATTTCAATGAGTATGGTAGTTTCTTATTTTAAGAACGGAATTTCAGAAAAGCAGAAAATGTTAACTCTAAGAATTTTGTTTGCATCTATTCTTACAGTTCCTTAAAATATTTACCTTGTTGCCTTAAATTGCTCTTTGGCTTTTATTACAGCCTCAGAAAGGTTATTTTTAAAAAGAAATCCAATTTAACAAAGCATCATCTCCTTCAGCCAGTGAGAACTTTCTTTTCTTTGAAATGCAGTTGAAGAAATGACCTCTTTGATTTTCATGGGGTACTCCTTTTATTCTCCAGTGTTCTGGAAAAGTTCTTTTATGGGGAGAACATGCCATCTCTTAACTTTGATTGCATTAGGGCATAAGCATTAAAGACACAAAGGAACAGAAAACGATATTCTCCCAAGATGAAATGTGGGAAAACTATGGGTTAAGAAATACGAAATTATTCTTACTCCTTTGTCCACATTTTCTTTATAAGATATGTGTAATACACCGGCTTACTGTGACCTAGGAAAGGCTGCCAAGGATGTCTTCAACAAAGGATATGGTACGTATGATATTGTGAATTTCCAACTGGGGTGAGGTTTAAGGATTAGTAATTTAAGGGGATGACTAGTAACAGGTTATTTGATTTTGTTTTTTAGAGATAGAGTCCTTTGTTATTGTTAGATGATTCTGAGTCAATATTGACTCATAAGCAACCCCATGTGACAGAGTAGAACTGCTCCATAGGGTTTTCTAGATTGTAGTCTTTTAGGTGTTCTTGACCCGAGCCATGGTATTTTCAATAATTGCATGTACATGTTAAAGAAAGCTGGAAAATGAATAAGGCAAACCATAGAAAAATTGATGCATTTGAATTATGGTACTAGAGAAGTGTCTTGGACTGCTAGAGGAACAAACAAATCTGTTGCACGAAGTACTGCCAAAATGCTCTTTAGAAGCTAGGATGATAAGACTTTGTCTCTCATACTTCAGACATGTTATCATGAGGGACCAGTGCCTGGAGAAGAACATCATGCTTGGTAAAGTGGAGGGTTAGTGAGAAAGAGGAAGAAGTGCAGCATGATGGATTGGCACAGTGGCATCAGTAATGGGCTCAAGCATAGCAATAGTTGTGAGGATGGTGCAGGACTAGGCAGTGTTACCTTGTTTTACATAGTGTCAGTATGAGTTGAAATCAACTCAGAGGCACCTAACAACAGTCTTTAAGGGAGCAGATTACCAGATCTTTCTCCTGTGGAGAGGCTAGGTTAATAGCTGAGTGCCTAACTGTTGAGCCACCAGCACTCCTTTAGGGTCCCTTACAAGCATGAAAAGTAATTATACATAAACACAGGGGAGTTAAAAAAAGTTTCTGGGGAAATTTCATTATTTTTTAATTCCATTTTTCCATTAACTTTTTGGAGTTCCCTCATCAGGCTGCGAACTGCAAGGTCAGCAGTTCGAAACCACCAGCTGTTCCGCGGGAGAAAGACGGGGCTTTCTGCTCCCGTAAAGATTTAAAGCCTCGGAAACCCTGTACAGGGTCGCTATGAGTCAGAACTGACTCCACGGCACATAACAACAACAACATATGTGTTTACGTGTTGAGCTGCTAACAGCAAGCTGCTCTGCTGGAGAAAGATGAGATAGTTTTCTGCTATAAATATATACTGTCTTAAGCCCTAAGGAGCAGTTCTACTCAGTCCTACAGGGTCACTGATTTGGAATTGACTCAATGGCAGTAGATATATATATATAATGTATATATACTCACATATTTGGAGTCCTGGTATAACACTGGGCTGCAAGGTGTGTGTGTTTAAACCGCAAAGTTGGTGATTCAAACTCATCAGTTGTACCTCGGAAACCCTATGTAGGGTTTCTATGAGTTGGAACCGACTGGACAGCACTTAACAACAATAACGTAATATCTATGAACCCTGGTGTGGTGCTATAGGATAAGCACTGGACTGGTAACCACAGTATTGGTGTTCAAACCCACCAGCTGCTCTCGGAACCCTTATATAGGGTCACTATGAGCTGGAACTGATTTGATGACACGTGACAACATAGTACCTATGTTTCTTGCTAGTCCTGGGGACAGTTAAAGTAGGGGTTATATTTTTTTTCTTCCCCAAATGGCTGTGTTTATATGAAAGTAAAAATATAACTTTTAGATTTATCTAGAGCAACATAAATTGATCCCAAATATTTAGTTTTGTTTTTAAAAACATCATCTGTAAATTCTTAAGTTTTATATTGAACCAGTAATGTTAAATATATACAAGGGGGCTTAAAAAATGTTGAAAGATAGAAAATTCCATGATCTCTCCATTATATTTTCCCACAGTTTTTGAAGCCCCTTCATATTTTAAGCTTTTATATACATCAGCAGGAAGTGCGGTGGCTCCATAAGCTAAGACTTTGTACGTTGTACCACAAAGTTAGAGGTTCAAGCCCACCAGCCGCTCCCCAGGGAAAAGATAAGGCTTTCTGTTCCTGCAGAGATTTAAAAAGCCTCAGACACTCTACACAGGGTCCTTTTGAATCAGAACCGACTGAACAACACTTAACGACAACATATACCTCAGCACAATGTCTTCTAGTAGTAGTGGGTTTTGGAATAGTGCGTATTCCTTTTAGTCACTTGCTTTAACTAATATTTTTTAAAGTATGTGCTAACTCATTTTGGAGGACTTGAACATATTTAAATCATTTGGTTATGCATTCATTTTGTACAAAACACTCAGCTAATGAGAATATTGTTTATTTTTTAATAAGGAAGATACTACAGACTAGTTTCTTAATTTTTGCATTGTAAAAATTGGTCTTGATACCACACTTTACTGTGTTTTTGTGTGTGTGTCTAGGGTTTGGCATGGTCAAAATTGACCTGAGAACCAAGTCTTGCAGTGGAGTGGTAAGTATCTAATATTTTAAAAAATAGATGTAACGTAAATACATTTGTTGAAAACTGTTATTCATGCTAGCTAGTTGAAGCAGTATGCTGTTGGCAATCTACTTTCTTCCTAACAGATTTACTCTCATATTTCAGAGAGCATCTTTACTCAGCCAATTAAACCCATAATCAGGTTGAATTTTGGGGGTCAGTTCAAACTCACCAGCTGCTCCTCAGAAACCCTATGTGGGGTCACTATGAGTCAGACCTAACTCATTGGCACTTAACAACAACAGCAGGTGTTTACTATGAGAGTATTCTGTGTCTTGCTCCCAGAAGATATAAGATACATATTTTTGATCTATGCCATATCTTCAGACTTTCATTGGACACAGAAATTTTACTTCCGTTATAAAGGGTTCCTGGTGTGGCGCTGTGGGTTAATGCGTAAGACTGCAAAGCCGTTTGAACTGCAAGGTCAGCGGTTCAGGCTCACCAGCTGCCCCTCGGAAAAACCCTATACAGGGTCGCTATGGGTCGGAATTGACTTGATAGCACTTAACAACAACAACAACAATGGGTTCGTGCAAGATTTTTTAAAAAATTAATTAATTTTGTTGTTGAGAATATTTACATCAGAACATGCACACTAATTCAGCATTTCTCTATGTATTACATTCTTGGAGTTGTGCAACCACTTTCACCCTCCTTTATTGAGTTGTCCTGCCCTGTTAGCAAATTCATAGCCTTATATAGCGCTTACCTAATCTCTAAGCTGCTTTTGTCAATTTTATCCCATAGAAATAGATTTTAAAAGAGCACAGTGCCCAAGGCAGACATTCTTTACTAGTTAAGTTAAACTATTGTTTGGTTTTAAGAGGACTTCAGGGGATATTTTTTGTTTAAGTTTTAAACATTATCTCAGGGCAGTGGTTTCATAGGTCCAGGCAAGTTTTAGAAAATTTTGTTTTAATCTCTGCCCTTTTATGACTGATTGAAATAAATGTTAGAAGTAAAATGCATGTAGATTATATTATAATCTTTATTGATGTTTATAAAGTCTTTTTTTGGTAGAAGTTAACATGGTTAAAAATATGTTAGCATATTTTCAAAGGGACATTAACCATAGCTTTCATTCAACAAATCTCAACAAATAGATTACATTTACTCCATTTTCTAGTTTCTCCTCATTGACAACACAATGTTTAGTATTTACTTATTCAAAGTGGTACAGATTTTATTTCTGTTTAGGTAGCGTAGTAGTTATGAGTTGGGCTACTAATCTCAACATCAGCAATTCAAGACTACGAGCTGTTCGTAGGAGAAAGATGAGGCTTTCTGCTTCTGTAAAGATTTACAACCTAGGAAACCCTATACAGGGTCGCTGTGATTAGGAACTGACTTGATGGCACTTAGCAGCAACAACATTAATTAGAAGGGGTCCTGATGTGGCACTGTAGGACAAGCACTGGACTGCTAACCACAAGGTTGCGGTTCAGACCCACCAACCACTCCTTGTAGCCCCTCTATAGCGTCGCCATATGTTGGAATTGACTTGACAGCACTTAGCAACATTAATTCGAAGGTCAAGAGGCATGTGGAATTGTTAATGACACTTTGACTCTGTATAATCCTGATTTGTCACAATAATGTATTCCTGAGTTTCTCAGTTGTTGTTAAGTGCCATCACGTTGGGTGTGACTCATAGCAGCCCTGTATAGGATTTCCAAGGAGCAGCTGGTGGGCTTGAACTGCTGACATTACAGTCCAGTGTCTAGTGGATAAAATATGTGCACCAGTGGGACCCTCAAGAAGAGAAGTCCTGGTGATGCATTGGTTAAAGTGCTTGACTGCTAATTATAAGGTCAGTGCTTCAAACCAACCAGTCTCTGAGGGAGAAAGAGTTGCTTATTTGCTCCTGTAAAGATTTACAGCCTTGGAAATCTTATGGGGCAGATCTGCTCTATCCTATAGGATCACTATGAGTTGGGATTGACTCAGTAGCAATATGAGCACATTGTATTCAGCTCTGTTGAAGTAGAAGAATTTTGGGGTTCTGTTGTGGTGCTGTGGGATAGGCACTAGACTGCTGCTCCTCGGAAACCCTATATAGAGGGTCACTATGAGTCAATTGATTCGATGGCTTGTAACAACAACATCATTTTGAATAGAGTTTCAGAATTTGTTCAAGTTAGACTCATGTCACAAAAGTCATTATTTAACATCTTATCTCCCTTTCATGCTCCTGTGGTTTGGGATTGTTCATTCAGATGGTAAGGGAAAAAAAGCATGTTTGTGTTGCTTGCTTTTATGGCTGCTTTTGGTCTTTGGTATCAATTTAAGATAGGTTTCACATATTGATCCAGCTTTCTTAAATTGTATCTTGGTATTTTTTCAACTAATATTTTTGCAGTTGTTTTGTTGCTTACTATTATTTAATGTAGAGCTATATATGCATGTTATAAATGTATTTTATACTTGACCTAATTATGAAATAAAAACTGAAGCAATTGAAGCCTGGAATTCAACTTAATAAAATTCTGGCCTCTAGTATTTATTCCTCTAGTATTTGAGCTTTTTGAAAGAACTTCAAATTAAGAAATGACAACAGTAAGGAAGCAATGTGGAATAAATATGGTTACCTTAATTTGTGTATAAAATTTCATATCATTAAAAAATAAGCTTTATATTTGCTTTAGTTGTCAGGTTTGTGAAAGAAAATGGTAAAAAAAAAAAAAAGGACTGTTCAGCATACTAAAAGACTAAATGAAAATATCACATTAAGAATTGTGTGTAATGCTTTTATCATTTTTACTAAGGCCTTGCCCTTAATGTGCAGCATGATAATCTGTTGTGAAACTTTCTAGCTGGTGTTGATAAACAGACCATAGTTTCAAAGTTGTTTCCTTCCTTAGCCTGTAGAACAAGAGTTAACAGGGAGGATTCATATTGCAGGCAGTAAAACAGAATGGGTCAGAGTTGGTAGTATTTCATTACTGTTGGCAACATTTCAGAAATGTGCCTTAAACACAGGACCAATCAGAATGTTGTTTTTTTCCCCCTGACAGTTCATACATAGATGGACAGTGCCAGGTGATGACTGTTTCCATCCCCCTAGAAGGAGATCTGTTTATAATTGCTGGTTGTCATATGACTGAAGGACACATCTAGGGAGCAGGATATAATGGCACTATAGGATAAGCACTGGACTGCTAACTGTTAGGTTGTCAGTTCAAACCCACCAACCACTCCTTGAAAACCCTAAATTGGATCGCTGAGTCAGAACTGACTCGATGGCACTCAACAACAGCATAATAACTTCAAAGCTAGACTGTGGGAGAAAAAGAAAAGAGAGAGAAATTATTATTAACATTCCATTTTGCTGTGAACAATGACCAGATACTTTCAGATACTGAAAGTTTTACAGATAGTCTTGTGGACAAAAGCAAGAAAACTTTTACTCAACAAAGTGAGGACAGTGGGGTAGGGTGGTGCTTCTAGTGTTTTGGGATTTTTAAGGATTTTAAAAAAATTAATAGGAAAAGTATGATGGAGAACTTTAGATCATGGAGGTAAACTGTTTAAGGTTCAATATTTTAGCCTTTTTAGTAAAGAAGTTTATATATAGTAAAACATTTGTCTTTTAAAGTAGAGAATTTACGGTGTGGCACTGTAGGATGAATACCGGACCAAAAGGTTGGTTTGAACTGCAGTTCAAAGTCACCACCCACTACAGAAACCCTGTAGGTAGTCTCTATGACTGGGAACTGACTCAGTGGCATCTAGTTCACATCCTTATTGTAGTTATTGTTGTTGCTATTAGTAAGAGAGGTGGAGTAATGGAAAGATCTGAAACTGGCTAGCCAGTATCAGATCTTTTCATTACATTTCTATTGTAAAGAAAGAAGGAAAGCAGGAAACAATTTGCCATTGTAAAGAGTAAATTATATTGGTTTCTGATGCATCCAACACTACTTTCTGATGTGATTTTTGTTTTGTTTTCATTTGAGCTAATTTTTAGGTAATTATTTTTCTCTTATCAGGAATTTTCTACTTCTGGTCATGCTTACACTGATACAGGGAAAGCATCAGGCAACCTAGAGACCAAATATAAGGTCTGTAGCTATGGACTTACTTTCACCCAAAAATGGAACACAGACAATACTCTTGGGACAGAAATCTCTTTGGAAAATAAGGTAAGAGAAAGCACTAGAAGTTATTTGTAGATTAAATACATTTTACAGATTGTTTAAGGAACAAACTCCAAATATTATCTGGCTAAGTGTTACAGTGTATCTGCAGGTGGCCTTATTTGGTATGTTTTATTGTTTATTTCTAAAAAGTAAGACTTATTTGTGAGTTTACTAATTATTACATTGCATCTTTGTTCTGACCAACTCTACTTACTCTTTAGTACAGCTGAGCTTCTCTTGAGTAGACCAGACTGTTTACATGGATCTTGTTTTTATTTTGTTATAATTGCAAAATGGGCCCCACAGAATGGTACCAAAGACAACGTATCTATTTGTTTAGGGCGTGCTGTGTAAAGGGCACTATTAGAAATATGCTTATATGTACAGTATTGTACACGGGGGCTTCAAAAATTTCTGGAAATTTTTCATATTTTTAACTTTTTATTGTGAATTGGGTGAAGGTTTACAGAGCAGAACATCAGTTTTACATTAAATAATTCATGCACATTTTGTTTCATCTCATTGATTGCAGTGCAACATCACTTCCTCCCTGTGTTTCCTGTTTCCATTCCTTCTCCTTTCCTAACTGTAATGAACTTTGTCCTTGGGTAAATGCAAAATGCTGCCCTTTGAATCTCAGATAATTTTAAGTTGTGCATACCTCACTATTGTTACCATTCCCCTTATAGACCTGTCATTATGGCTAAAAATTGAGCCATGGGGAAGAGTTCAATCCCAGACCTGAAGGGTAACAGTAAGGAGCATGTCCTGGGATTTCTCTAGTCTCTGTCTGACCAGTTATCTTGGTCTCTTACCTGATATTGAGCTTTTTTCCACGTATTTGTCCCACTCTATTCAGGACCTTTAATGTGATCCTTTTAAGAGCAGTTGGTGATGGTGGTGGTGTTCTTACTAGGTGCCATCGAGTTGGTACCGACCCATAGCTACCCTCTGCACCACAGAATGAAACACTGCCTGGTCCTGGGCCAACTTCACAATTGTTGCTGCATTTGAGCTCATTGCTGCTGCCACTGTGCCAATCCCATCTAACTTGAGGGGAGGAGGGTTGTCTTCCTCTTTTTCTCGGCCCCTCCACTTTGTCAATCATGACATCCTTCTCCAGGGACTGGTCCTTTCTGATAATATGTCTGAAGTGTGAGAGACAAAGTCTAGCCATCCTAGTACTTCTTACAACACAGTTGGGTTTGTTCTTTTGGCAGTACATACTACTTTTAATATTCTCCAAAACCATAACTCAAGTGCATCAATTCTTCTATGGTCTTTTTATTCACTGGCCAACTTTCACATGCATAAGAGGTTATTGAAAATACCATAGGTTGGGTCAGGCACACCTTAGGCCTCAGACTATCATCTTCAATATTTTAAAGAGGTCTTGTGCAGCAGATTTGCCCAATGCAATACATCGTTTGATTTCTTGACTGCTGCTTCCATGAGTGTTGATGGTTGATCCAAACAAAATGAAGTCTTTGACATCTTCAGTCTTTTCTCCATTTATATGGATGTTGTTTATTGATCCCGTGGTGAGGAGTTTTGTTTTTTTTTTACATTGAGGTACAATCCATAGCAAAGGCTGTGGTCTTTGGTCTCCATCAGTAAGTATTTCAAGTCCTCTTCACTTTCAGCAAGCAAAGTTGTATCATCTGCATATCACAGGTTGTTAATTAGTCTTCTTCCAATCATGATGTCACGTTTTTCTTTATATAATTCAGCTTCTTGGATTATTTGCTTAGCATACAGATTCAATAAATACGGTGAAAGAATACAACCCTGGCACACACCTTTCCTAATTTATTCATTCAGTGTTCCCTTGTTCTATTTGAACAACTGCCTCTTAGTTTATGTACAGGTTCCTCATGAGCACAAGTATTCTGGAATACTCATTCTTTGCAATGATGTCCATAGCTTGTGATGATCCACACAATCGAAAGCATTTGTATAGTCAATAAAGCACAGGTAAACATCTTTCTGGTATTCTCTGCTTTCTACCCAAGATACATCTGAACATCAGCAGTGATAATCCCTCGTTCTAACTCCTCTTCTGAATCTGACTTGAACTTCTGAAAGTTCTCCGTCAGTGTATGGTTGCAGCCGTTTTAGTGTTATCATTAGCAAAATTGTACTTGCATGCAATATTAATGATATTGACCGATGATTTCCACATTCCATTGTATCACCTCTCTTTGGACTGGATCTCTTCCAGTCAGTTGACCAGGTAGTTGTCTTTCAAATTTCTTGGCATAGATGAGTGAATGCCTACAGTGTTGCATCAGTTGGTTGCAAGATTTCAGTTTGTATTCCATCAGTTCTTGCAGTCTTGTTCTTTGCCAGTGCCTTCAGTGCATCCTAGACTCTTCAGTATCGTTGGTGCTTGATCATATGTTTACCTCTTAAAATGGTTGAACATCGACCACTTCTTTTTGGTACAGTGACTGTGTTCCTTCCATCTTCTCTTGAAGCTTTCTGCAACATTCAGTATCTTACCCCTAGAATTCTTCAATATTTCAAGTCGAGACTTGAGTTTTTAATTCCGATCCGTCAGCTTGAGAAATGCTGAGTGTGTTCTTTCCTTTGGTTTTTTAACTCCAGGTCTTTGCACATATCATTATAATATTTCACTTTTGAAACTTTCTACTCAGCTCTTTTACCTCCTTCTTTCTTCCATTTTCTTTAGCATCTCTATGCTGGAGAGCAAGTTTCAGAGTGTCTTCTGACATCCATTTTGATCTTTTCCTTTTTTCTTTTCTTAATTACCCTTTGGTTTCTTCCTGTCTAACATTCTTGATGTCATCCCACAACGCTTCTGGTCTTTGGTCCTTACTGTCTAATGCATCAGATATGTTCTTCAGATGATATCTAAATTCAGGTGGGACATGTTCAAATTCAGGTAGGATTTGTCTCTTGTGGACTTGTTTGAAATTTCTTCAGCTTCAGCCTGAACTTGCATATAAGTATATGGCCTTGTTTTGACTAAGGATTTGGACTTTTTCCACTATTAGTTTTCATGGATGTAGTCAATTTGATTTCTGTATATTCCATCTGGTGAAGTCCGTGTGTATAGTTATCTTTTATGTTGTTCAAGAAAGGTTTTTGCATTGAAACATTGGTCTTAACAAAATTCTATCATGTGATCTTCAGCATCGTTTCTATCACTAATGCCATATTTTCCAACTACTGATTCTTCCTCGTTGTTACCAACCTTTGCATTCCAATCGCCATTAATCAATACATCTTTTTTTATTATTATTATTTAAGGTTTTATTGTGGATTGAGTAAAAGTTTACAGGGCAGTCATCAGTTTTACATTTGACAAATCATACACCTTGTTTTATGCAATGATTATAATCCCCTCCATGTACCATCAGTCAACAGTATTTCTCTCTATTCACTTTAGCTCTTTTTTTAAACACTCAGGTATATATAAAAATTTACACCACCAAAGGGTGCATCCTGCAAGTCAGTCTCCTGGCCGCCAGCTCTTAGCCCCTCTCTTACCATGAATCTGGAGTCCTCAGCTGCTCCCTCTCTCCATGTCCCCATCTTTGCCTCCATCTGTGGTGTCACTGCTTCTTTGGATAAGATTTCGCATTCCACTTGTGCTCTTTTCCCTTGATGATCCTGGGCTCCTTTGTTTCTGGACTGTAAGATTAATCACTCCCCTGTTTTTGTTACAGAACTTCTACCTTTACAATTGTGATAGTCACAATTAGTCATGATAACAATTATTCACTATTGAATCATAAGAATCTTATCGTCATTTCTTTTAACCAAACCCATCTAGATAAGATGAAAACTATTCAGCGGGGACTCTTTCTTTCTCCATACAGTATTAAACTAAGATCCCCCTTGAAACCTTGTCAGCCAATCACTTTGTGCCATTATCGCCCCCTCATTTTAGGTAGCCAATGTCTTAAGTTGCCCATCCCTATCTGCCCTGTGTACAGAGGGTATAGCATTGATAATTGATGTGAAGACTCCTTTCCTCTCTGTTGGTATTTATAGTTACTACCTCCATGAATATAGGTCAGGTTCATCAAATTGTAGCAATTTACCCTTGTTTCCTTTATTAAAAATTGCTTGTGGGGCTACAAAGGCAAGAAGTGACTGGCTTACAAGCTTTCAAGAGGGAACCTAGAGCCAAGAGGCCTGTAGGAAGGCAGAATCTCCAGTGAGTAGTATCCAATCTGTCTAGGCGGAGCTGATGAAATGAAATGCAGATGGGTCTCTGGTGATACAATAGTGAGTAATTGTTATCAGGACTGATTGTTAGGGTTGGAAATGTAAAGATAGACATTTTATAGCAAGGAAGGGGGAAGTGATTAACTTTCTAGTCTAGGAGCGGAGGTCCCTAGGACCATCAGTGGAGAAGAGTGGAGAGCAGGACCCTACCCAGAGAAGCAGTGATGCCTGAGATGGAGGCAGAGACGATGATGTGGAGAGACGGAGCAGCTGGGGACTTTAGATCCAGAGAGGGAGAGCCACTGTGTGCTGAAGACTGGGGGCGAGGGGAGTAGGGAGGGGAGAGAGTAGAGGGCAGGCTTGCAGCGTATACCCTTTGGTTGGTTGATGCTGCATGGAAGGGATTGTAACCATGGCAATGAAACGATATACGATAGAATGAATGTAAAACTAATGTTCTCCCATGTAAACTATCATATAATTCACAATAAAACATTAAAATAAATAATAAAAAAAAAGATGAACACTAAAAAAAAAATTGCTTGTGTGTGTGTGTGTGTGTTTTAATATTCCTCTAGTTGAGTTCTGATTATCAAGCCATCAAGGCTAGGTCAGATTGGTACTATCTGCAAGTTTGAGTGTTCTTGTACATCTCCCCTCACTTTAGACCAACCAGCCTTTCCTCTTCTCTCTCTCATCTCCAGGTCAACAGGAGTCAATGGACTGTGGTTGAACTCAGCCCATTTCTTCATTGCTGCCTTTCCCCCTCTTCCACTTACCAGTAGACCAGTATGGTTGCCAGCAAGCTTACATGTATTCCCTTTAAGTTTTAGTCTTAGAGGGGGGTTTGTCCTGAAGGAACTTGATTGCTTATTCTTGTAGTAGCCAGTCATACTGCCATTTTTGTTTTGGGTTTTTCTTGATGATCTTTCTTTGAAAATGTATCTTCTGTCACTCTAACTGTTCCAGGCTGGTCTGCTTGTCCTTTCTAGTGGGGGTGTCCCACCTCAGAAGGTTCTAGATGGGACTTAGGATTCCACCTAAGGTCCTATACACTGCAAAGACTCCACAAGAGGCCTATTTCACTGGGCAAGTTCTGGAACCCCATTTCTGTATTCTACTCAGTTATACGCTGATGATGGGCTTATAGGTTTTCTGTAATCATGTTTCCCGACATTCCTTTCTATCCCACTCAAGTGTCTATTTTACAGTAGTAGGCAAGAGAAACCAATATTCATAAGACAGTCAAGAATCTTAGTATTATATCCCCTCATTAAACTATGCCTAGATCACAGAGCCCTGTTGTTCTAAGGTTGAGCATAATCAATACATCTTGATTGCATGTTTGATAAAAGTCAGTAGAATTCTTTAGTTTCATCCTCACTGATTTTAGTGGTTGGTGCATAAATCTGAGTAATAATGGTATTAACTGGTCTTCCTTGTAGCTGTATGGATATTATCCTTTCACACAGTGTTGTACTTCAAGACAGATCTTGATAAGTTCTTTTTGATGATGAATGCCGTGCCATTCCTCTTTAATTTGTCAATCCTGGTATAGTAAACTATGTGATTGTCAGGCTCAGAATGGCCAATACCAGTCCATTGTAGCTCCCTAATGCTTAGGATGTTCCTGTTTATGTGTTCCATTTCAATTTTGATAATTCCCAATTTTCCTAGATTCATACTTCGTACATTCCATGTTCTGATTATTCATGGATATTTACAGCTGTTTCTCTTCATTTTGAGTTGTGCCCATCAGCAAATGGAAGGTCTTGAAGGCTTTACTCCATTTGCATCATCACGGTCAACTTTACTTTGAAGAGGCAGCTCTTCCTCAGTTGTATTTTGAGTGCCTTCCAACTTGAGGGGCTCATATTCCGGTACTATAGCTAACATTATTCTGGTGTTCTTCATCATGTTTCAGTATTCAATATTCTGGTGCTGACAGTGTTTCACTGTTATTCATAAGTTTTTCAGTGACTACCTGGAAGTAGTCTGTCTCTCCTTCTCCCTAGTCTGTCTTTGTCTGGCAGCTTAGCTTCCAGAATCACAGCAACATGCAAGCCACCACAGTACAACAAACCAACAGACGAGTTGTGGATTGGTAGAGGTAGCCAGGCACTATTTAGTTCTGGTCTTAGGGTTGTGGAAACTGATGTTTATGTGGTCCATTAATCCATTGGACTAATTGTTAACATGGGTCTTTGATTTTCATCACTTTTCTTTTTTTAAAAGATTTTTTGGGACATGTTAATTCTGTTAAATCAGCTTAATAACTGTTGTCAAGTGGGCAAACAAGGCTGTAAGGGACCCTCCTTGCTGCAACATGTAAGTCCCTCAGTGAGCCTAGAAGAAAATGGTGTCTGCTTTCTCTTCTGGTCCCCACAGACATACATACAGTTTTTTCATTATCTTTTTGTTGTTGTTTTGTAAAACAAGATATCAGTTTGAAATTTTTATTATTTTTTCTTTTCCCCCCTCTTACCTACCACCTTCATTATCTTTAAATTCTATTTTTTCATGAACTTTTTGAAGCCTCCCTATATATATCTAGCTAAATAAATTGCTTAGGTTGGGTTGTTAAATGTCAGGTTATACAGTAATAATAATTTTAAGACAGTAACAAGATTATTTTGTTTTTGTACTATAATTTACATTATTTTTGTGTGGTTGGATTTGACTTATAAATTTCATCCTGTCTTTTGGTAGAAGTATCATTATGAAGGTGGAGGTCCAGGGGAGAACAGAAGATGGTAGATAATTTGATATGTGATGTGATACTTTAATATTTGACTTTATTGACTTACTCTTGTAAGGGAAAACTTTAGAACTGGTTTCTTGATTTGAAAAGATAATTGAAAATTTATTAATTTTAAACCTTTATTTTTCAGTTGGCTGAAGGGTTGAAATTGACCCTTGATACCATATTTGTACCGAACACAGGGTAATTATTCAAATCCTATTTTCTGAAATGTTTTATAGCCTGATAGGATAGTGAGCTTTCAAATTGGGAGTTACAATGAAAAGCTTAGAGACAGGAAATGCTAAGGAGTTTGCTGTTAGGAATACTGTTGTTGTTGGGAAGTGATGTCAATTCCAACCCATAGCGACCCTGTATAGGGTTTCTAAGGAGCAGCTGGTGAGCTTGAACCACTGAGCTTGCAGTTCAAACAGCTTTGCAGTCTGACGCATTAGCCCACAGCATCACACCAGGACTCCTAGAGGACTGATGTATATAGTAAAGTTGAATACTCACTTGAGACACTATGAAATTTTGATTTGAAAATTGAAAAGATGAACAAAATTTTATCATAAAATTTAAGATTTGTAAATAGATTCCAAGTAGGCACATAGCACCAGTTTAAGAGCTAGAGGAGTCTGAGACCACCGATATTTCTGAAACAATACTCTGAAGATTCATGGATGTTGTTAGAAGTTCAGTTTTTTAAGAGTATAACTCTCTTCAGTTTAGAACACTGTACTAGTAATTCTGCCATTGATTTGCTTTATTAATCTCTTAACTTCTCTGCCTCCGTTTCCTCATCTATAAAATGGGCACAATGTTCCTTCCTATCTGCCTTATAGAGGCTGATGTTCTTAAAGGAAAAAGGTGCTAGATGAATATAAAGTGGCATTCGTTCAGCTATAACAACAGATTATGTTTTTCCTGCTGCGTCCTTCAGTTATATTCTAAATAAGTAATTTCATAAAAGGCCTCATTGGAATAGGATATGTTGGATTTTAAGAACCAATTTAGTGTTTCCAGTATTGATCTTCAAAAAAGTATACTTTTCTATAATACCAAACCCCCTCCCCCCCACCAAACCAAACCCTCTGCCACCTTGTCAATTCTGACTCATAGTGACCCATGTATAGGGTCTCTGAGGCTATAAATCTTCACGGGAGCAAAAAGCTTTGTGTTTCTCTCAGGGAGTAACTGGTGCATTTGAACTGCTCACCTTGCAGTTAGCAGTCCAGTGCTTATCCTACAGCACCACCCAGACTTCTTTTACTTTATTGTTATTGTTGTTGTGAAGTGCCATTGAGTCAGTTCTGACCCATAGTAACCCTGTATAGGTTTTCTAAGGAGCGACTGGTGAGCTTGAACCATTGACCATGTTGTGGTTCAACTTTACAGTCCAGCGCATTAACCCCCAGTGGCACAACAGGACTCCTTTCTCTCCATTGGAGGGTTTAATGATTTATAAGTGATAACTGGGTATTTAGAAATAGAGAGATTTGGTTTCTTATATATCTATCTCTCTGTATCTATCTATCTATATATATATAGATATACATACATATATATGTATCTTCAAAATACTAATTTGGCACTGAAATACTTATTTCTGTTACTTTTGCTCATGCCTTGATCAAATTAATGATAAGGGATCCTATCTGCATTTGTTTATACATTTATGATTCTAGCAAAGTTATATTTGGTGAGCTAAGTCACTTGAAACATTTTTATTCTGTGTATGTAGTCTACCAAAACAATTAATATTTAAGTTAGGGGAGAGATAGGCTTACTATAAAGATTGCTGGACTGTAGTAGAAACTCATGTTGTTTTGTTTTGTTTTTGTCTTTTTTACAGAAAGAAGAGTGGAAAGTTGAAGGCCTCCTATAAAAGGGATTGTTTCAGTCTTGGCAGCAATGTCGATATAGATTTTTCAGGACCAACCATCTATGGCTGGGCTGTGTTGGCCTTTGAAGGTTGGCTTGCTGGCTATCAGATGAGTTTTGACACAGCCAAATCCAAACTGTCACAGAATAATTTCGCCCTGGGTTATAAGGCTGCAGATTTCCAGCTGCACACTCATGTGTGAGTGTTTGTCATTTATTCTTTTGGTAATGCCAGTGCAATCTCCCCCAAAAAATGGTGGCCACTACTGGCATACAGAGAAAGTTAGAAGTGACGGTACTTGGCATTTAATAGCCATGGTGGACACCTAACCCGTATGGTTTTCAAAGTCAACAAAACATTACAAGGAGGTTAGCAGTACTTGGTGTAGAGTGCTGTGTTGCCTGGTCATCACTGGCCTCTCACCTTTACCCCAGACTTCAGGGAAGTCTACAACATCATGGGGATGGAAAGAACCCAGAGCATGGCTTACCTCCTGATATAAGCGGTCCTTTGGAGATGTAGCTGCTACTTCTGGCAGCATCCTTGTCTTGGCAATGCCTGGAGGCAGGTTTGTTTGGATAACTGAGAATTGCTTCCAAATTGATCCTGGAACATCACCAGTAATTTGGAGGTTTTCAGGTGCTCTTAGTCAGAATCCAGTTTGCCTTTAACACTCAGAAGCAGCAGGAGTTCTTAGAGCATTCCTGGGATTTGATTATGTAGGCTGCACCTTGTTGGCTCAAAGAATTTGGATGTTTCAGTTGTATTTTATGTCTGTACCCACTGGGTACTGCTACTCTACCAGGAAGAAAAAGCAAAGTGCTAGCTACATGTTTTTCAAGTTTTATAAGCAGCTGTTAGGCAATCTAATCTAGTGGCATTGTTAATTGATGAGGCAGTAGTGTTAGGAAATGGTCAGAACTCAAGGATTATATTGTGTGATGCATTGAAGCAGAACTTGGTATAGTTCTCTAGGGCAGGACCTCCTAGCTATACAGAGAGGACGCTTTCTAACTTCAGAATGGTGTCACAAATGGAATTCAGGATTGGCTTTACTCCTATACCTGTACCTCTTTTCCCCCACCCCCTTGAACTCTACTTTGAAGTTTGTGAATTCTATGAAAATTTCAGAGATTTATAGGTTGTTTTTGCCTGAGGATAGTCTGTCTTAGTGCAAAATTTGCATCAAGTAAATGAATCAGTTGTTACTACATTTGATTTGTTTTTACTACATTTGAAGGACTGTAGATTCTGACTCATAGTGACTCTGTGTAGAGTTTCTAAGGAAATGGAAGGAATGGCAGTGGGTTTGAAATGCCAGCTTTTCAGTTAGCAGTCTAGTGCTTACTCTACTTTGCCGCACCAGGACTCCACATTTGAATTAGGCAGTTATAAAAACTTAAATGGATTTAGTTGTCTTGGTTAGTAGTCATTTAAATGCTAGAAGTTTATTGAAATTTGTAATGCAAAATGGGACCCTTGTTGAGATAATCTTAGAATTTTTTCCCCATATTATAAGAACAGTAATGGTATAAACTAGACATTTTTAACTCTTTCCTATTTCTTGGAAACAGGAATGATGGCACTGAGTTTGGAGGGTCTATCTACCAGAAGGTTAATGAGAAGATTGAAACCTCAATAAACCTTGCTTGGACGGCTGGCAGTAACAACACCCGTTTTGGCATTGCTGCTAAATATAAATTGGATTGTAGAACTTCTCTCTCTGTAAGAATCTACTACCAGAATGGATCTGCTCTTGGAATGTGGTGACAGGGTTGTAGTTTGCATGATCTCTATTAACTGCAATGAGCTGACTCATTGTGTAGTGAAAGAGTATTACTTGAAGTCAGGAAATGTGAGTTTTAATTCTAACTACTCCAGTATTTGGCTACTAATATTTTCAAGTCATTTTCTCTCTTTAGCCTCAAAATATTCTTATCTGCAAATTCAAGGGATTTGATTACTATTCCTATTGTTAAGTGCCGTTGAGTCAGTTCTGACTCACAGTGACCTTATATAGGGTTTCTGAGGACCAGCCAGTGGTTTTGAACTGCTGACCTTGTGGTTTGAAGTCCAGTGCTGATTCTACAGCTCTACACCAGGAGTTCCTGTTGTTGGTAGTTCTTATTAATAATAACAAATTGAGCTCTTAAATTTCAGGTATTATGCTAAGGGCTTTCTGTGTATTCGCTCATGTATTCTTCACAACTACTCCACGTGTCCTCACCCCAATCTTACAGAGGCTAGGAGAGGTCAGGTAACTTGCTCAAGGTCATGTGCCATAGATTTGAATTGAAATCTCTCTGTTACCAGAGCTTGTGTTTTAACCACTGTCAGAGGTTATAAACTGGCATCTCTAAGAACTCAGTGTATACAGGTGCTTGACTACACAGTGTTTTAAAATTTTTTGTTTGGGGTCTTTAAGCATTCATTCTTAAGGTCACTTCTATTGTAAGCATGTATCCCTACCATTTCTAATTGACTTTTTAAAGGCTTATCTTTTATCAGTTTCAGTAATTATTGATTGGTCCTAAGAAGCCTTAACTTTGGAAACCTGGTACATGAAGTGGACTTACCTATTATGAAGTTGATGGTGTTCTAACTGTTTCTATTTCATCTCCTCATCTTAGGCTAAAGTAAATAATGCCAGCCTGATTGGACTTGGTTATACTCAGACTCTTCGACCAGGTAGGTAATAGAATTAATATCAGCAGAATTGAGGAAAAAGGAGATGGAAGAATAATGAAAATAACCTTCACCGTGGGTTCAGACCATTTTGTAACAGTTAGGTGTTCCAGAAAAACAGTAAAACAACAAGAACAAGTACTTTTGCTTAAGTATTTATGTACTTGTAACTATAATATTTGGGGTCTTGGTGTGGTGCTGTAGGATAAGCACTTGACTGCTAACCGCAGGCTTGGTAGTTCAAACCCACCAGCTGCTCCTCAGAAACTGTATACAAGGTCCCTATGAGTTGGAACCAACAATTATAATTTTGGTCACTCTGGTTTGTGAGTTAGATTAATCATTCATTGTTCTTAAAGCCAAATAAACGTCACCATGATCATGTACTGTTCATTGCAGATCAAATAACTACAGATAACCCTTTGGAGATTTAAGGGTTGTGGTTAAGTGCTCAGCTGTTAACTAGAAGGTCAGCAGTTTGAACCCACCAGCAGCTCTGCAGGAGAAACAACCTGGGGATCTGTTCTTGTAAAGGTTGTTAGGGGCCATTGATTGTTTTGACTCATAATGACCTAATGTACAACAGAACGAAACACTGCTTAGTCCTTTGCCATCTTCACAATTGTTGTTTTGTTTGAGACCCTTGTTGCAGTCAGTGTGTCAATCCATGTCCTTAAGAGTCTTCCTTATTTTTCACTAACCCTCTACTTTACCAAGCATGATGTCCTCCAGGGATGGTTCTGAGAACATGTCCAAAGTACAGTGAGATGACGTCTTGGCATCTTTGCTTCTTAAGAGCATTCTGGATATACTTCTTCCAAGATAGATTGGTTCATTCTTCTGGCAATTCATGTATATTTCATATACTTTGCCAGCATCATAATTCAGTTTTTCTTCAGTCTTATTAATTGCCCAGCTTTTGCATGTATATGAGGTGATTGAAAGTATCATGACTCAGGTCATGTGTACCTTAGTCCTCAAAGTGACATCTTTGCTTTTTAATGCTTTCAAGATGTCTTTTGAAGCAGATTTTCCCAGTACAAATACATTGTTTGATTTCTTGAGTGCTACTTCCATGGGCATTTATTGGAAGTGTCAAGGATTTTGTTTTACTTGAACCCACAATCATTTCTCCATTTATCATGATACTGTATAGATTACAGTCTACGAAATCCTATGGGGGCAGCTCTAGTCTGTAACAGAGTGTTGTTATGACTTGGAATAGACTCAGTGGCACACAGCAAGAAGTAAATTTAGAAAGAGCTTTATGCTTGTAAGTCTGATACCCAACAATAATCCATGCCATTGACTTCATCCCTTGTTCTAGAAAATTCAGATGTGATGATAATGATTGTTATAAGTAACTGTGGTGTTTTTTTTTTCCTTCTAGGAGTCAAACTGACCCTGTCAGCTTTGATTGATGGAAAGAACTTCAATGCAGGAGGTCACAAGGTTGGGCTGGGATTTGAACTAGAAGCTTAATGTAGTTTTGAGTAAAGCAATCAGATTTGGCCCTGGAGGTGAAGACAAATGAGCCCACTATGTTTTGGCCTTAAAATTCTTCTGTGAAATTTCAAAAGTGTGAACTTTTTATTCTTCCAAAGAATTGTACTCCTCCCCACATTGGAGTCTAGAGATTGCAAGTCCATCCTAAGGGAGGTACTTGAAGGCATGCATGGAAGTTGTCATGTTTGTGCCACATTTCAGTTCAGTTCCTCAGTGTTATTTTAAGTGTGTTCCTCAATAACAGTGTAGTGTCTTGTTATAAAGGAAATGACCTGATCCTCCAGTTTGTACATCACGTCCTGCATGTCCCACACCACTTTTTCATGACCTTTTAATATATTGGTCTGTGCTGTAGTGAAATCTTTGGTTTTTGCATCAGAGTAAAATAAATCCATCACATTTGGAACATAATTGCTCATATGCTAGTTGTGGTTTTCTTGTATTTGATGTATTTTAGCTTGCTTTGAAAAATAACCTGAATGGTTGGGATTTGCCTGTAGGAATGGAAAAGTTTGTTGTTAAGTGCTGTCGAGTCCAGTTGACTCAACAAACCTGCATAGTGTTGTTTCCGAGGAGCGGCTGGTCAGTTTGAACCAAGGATCTTGTGGTTAGTAGTCCATTGTGTATCCAACAGCACCATACACATGGGATATGTAAAGTAGTAATAAAAGACTCTTCAGTTCCATGGGTGCTTTGGCCTGCCTGGCCCACTTTTGTTCACTTCCCTGTTGTATTGCTGTGATGCCGTCAACAGAGGAGCCTTGTGCTGCTGGGCAGAAGCTCATCTGATGAAGTGTACCTGGTTTGTGTGATAGTATTGTAGAAAGGCTAACACATTTCTTAAGGAAGAGTGAGGGTGTGAGTAGGCAAAAAAAACAGTGCAAAGGCAAAAGTACAATTTGGGGAAATACTGTAGGGAAGAGATTTGGAGAGGATGAGGCCCGAGTTAGTTACTCTGCCCAGGGCCTCAGAAAAATTACTAGATTTAGAAAAATTATAACCAAAGAATGAAATACCCATTTAGAAAATAATTGAATAAACTATAATATTTCCAGGGCATATTGATGTATCTTTCTAAAAATAGAACTTTAGAAAATCCCTTTTTAAAAAAAATACAGATGCAGTATATGCTGGTTACATGAAATTCAGTCAGAGAAGTATATTCAATAAAAGTGCAAATTCCATTCTTCTCTCCAATCCCACTTTCTTCCATTACTACTAGCTGTGTGGTATATATAACATATCCTTGCAGATACTCTTCAGTGTCTTGAGAGATTATATGAATACCTGTTTTTGTATATGTTTTTCAAATGCCCATCTTATTCTGCAGTATAAATGCAAATTTAACATAATCAGAGTACTCTTTCTGTGTGACTGTAAAGTTAGCCTTCTTCTTTGTTATTTTTTGCATACTTAAGGATCAATGTGATGTTATTTACTTAGCGGTCCCCTTGTGCTTTCTTCAGTTCAGCACTTGTCCAGTAGCGCTGCACTGACTATCTTTGTCCGCTCCGTGAATATACTCCACTAGCAGCGCTGCTCACCAGAGCATTCTGTATGGATGGAAACGATCTGCGTGTGCTGTGCTGCCCCCTATCAGAGCCCTTGCCACATGTGGATGTTGCACCTGGGGCAGCTGAAGAACTGAATTTTAAATCTAGTTTAAATTTAATTAGCCACATGTGGCTAGTAGCACCCAGTGCAGTGTGATAGCATAGACTTACAGAAGTGGGATTTTTAAGCCACAGGGCATGCAAATTTGAGAAGCAGTATAAATTTGCCTTTCAGAAGGTTTGCAGTGATTTATATTTCTACCAGTGTGTTTAGGAGTACCCACTCCCCACATCCTCAGTAACACTGAATTAACGTTACAAGCTTTAAATTTCTTACCAGTTTACTGGGTGGAAAATGGTACTTTGCTTTAATTTGCATTTCCCTGATTGCTATTTTCATATGTTTACTGGTCAATTATAATTCTCTGATTTGCCTGTTTACATTACTTGTTCAGTTTCCAAATGAGTTGTTTTAGAAACAGCTAGACACAGTTTTTTTCCCCCTGCAAAATGACAGTACAAGGTATTTCTCCTCAGTACCACAAAGATGAGAGTCCTGGTGTGGCGCTATGGGTTAATGCGCCAGACTGCAGAGCCATTTGAACTGCAAGGTCAGTGGTTCAAGCTCACCAGCTGCTCCTTGAAAACCCTATACAGGATTGCTGTGGGTTAGAATCGACTCTACAGCACTTCATAAAGACCACCAGAGATTATTTTAACTTTACAATATCCTATACCCATCTTTCAACCACCAGTTTTGATGTAGAGAGTGTCTATGGTGTCAATTGCATAATGACACATTTTTGTTTCCCGAACCTTTGTAGATGTGAGCTACCATTCCTGGGAAGGAAAAAACAAATCCACTCTTCTATCTTGTTGACAGTAGCTCTGTATCTTTCTAAAAGAACGTCACGAGCACAAGAGTGGCTCGGTCCTCTGTAGATCTGTTCACTGTGCTGCACATAGGAATCCCATTATGATAATTAAGGGATAAGCTTAAGAAGGGGATGGCTGTGTGTTGGAGCAGTTCTTAACAGTTCAGTGCTCTTCAGCCTGGTCGTGGTAGGGGTAGGGCATAGAGAGGGGGCTGGGAAATAGAGAGGTGTAAGGAGACACTATTATGCTGCACCCCTAATTAGTTTCTTAGTATTTATCTGGTATGGTTAGTTGTGTTTATGGCCTGAATTGTATGGGCAGGGGATTGTTACAGGTGTGTACTGTTTGCCTTTATTTTGCTCTCCCTTTTACTTTATTTAATTGATAGTTCACAGCTGAAGAGCCACATTTTATGTGTTGATGCAATAACCCAGAGATGAATTTAGGAGGCCTAAGCTCACCCTTTGCTCAGTAACTCTATAGGATCATGTGGCTGGGCTTTGGGGAAGAGTATCAGTCGCATGACTATCCTGGATGGCTGACATCTCAGTAGAATTAGATCACTTGAAAAGGTTTCTGGCCTCTTTGCATTGAAGGCTGTCCACTTTTGCAACTTGTAAAAGCAAGGACAAGAACATCCCTGGGATTGAGGCAGTTTTGTCTTAAATTATTTGCCACTGATAGAAAAGCTACGAAAAGAAGTGATTGGCCCCTATCCTAAACCTACGGCTTTGGGATCCTGTTTGATGACCAGAAGTCCCTGTGAGTCTCAGTTCCTGCACTTCTACATGTTCAGACTGCAGGCTTCGTGGAAATAGAATGAGCCATCTGAATTCTAATAGGGCTTTTGACAAGGACTCTTATTTCTCAGAAGGTGACCTGCATAGGCAGTCTTTTCTGCTGCAGTTTTCACATTTGAGCCCACTTCAGAATCTCAGAATCGCGGGGACAGCTTGTTATGACAGGTTGCCAGCCAATAAGATTGGTTCAGTAGGTCTGAGGGGGTCAAAATTTGCATTTGAACAGATTCCCAACTGATGGTGATATTGCTGGTCTGCAACCAAAGTTAGGGAAAAACTACAGCCTATGGTCAAATTTAGCCTGCTGCCATTGTAAATAAGAATTTATTGGAATATATGTTGGCTCATTTATGTATGTATTGTTTATGGCTGCTGTTGTGCTAAACAGCATAGTTGAATAATTATATGGCCTACAACACCTGAAATCTTTACTACCTGGCCCCCCAAATTTGCTGACTTCTGATCTAGAATAAAGGGACGTGTAAGATATTAGACCCAAAATGGGTTGGGGTGGAGGCCAGAGAGTTCAGTAGAAGACTTTGAAACTATGTCAGGTATGGGGATCAGAGTGAGGCTCTGGATAAGGGGCTGTGTAAGATGCTGGAGTGAAGAATCAGGGTTGGAATAGAGTGAAACAGAAGGTTAAAGTTCATCATGAGACATGTACTAGGGTAAGTCAAAAAGTATTGCTCTTAGGGTTCCATTTCATACCTGCATAGGTTTATTCCATGCAAAACATGTTTAAGCACATCTTTGATGGCTGCAGACAAGTTCTCTCAGTTCTATTAGGGTGCTTTCAAAAAAAAGGTACAATCAAAGCATTGACTTCCAATGGAACACTTAAATTCAAGACAGGGTATGGCAACTGTTTGGGGGGATTCCCAAGGTCGGTCAAGCCCCACTGGCTGCTCCACAGGAGAAAGATGAGGCTTTCTGCTCCTGCAGATTTACAGCCTAGAAAATTCTATACAGGGTCGTTATGAGTTGGAACCAGCTTGATGGCACTTAACAACAACAAGGACTAATCATGATAAGAAATTCATGACGGACACAGGATGATCATGGGGGCTTATTATGAAGAAATTTGAAGAAAATTAAAAACTGCCTGGGTTTAAGAAAAAAGCCAGAAAATTTATACTAAGGAATTCTCACTCATCACAACAATGCACCTGACTATTCAAGGGTAACAAGGCTGTCTGACAAGCATTTCATGGGGAAACTTGACCCCATTCAATGTGCGCCTCTGATCGTACTTCTGTGGACTTCTTTTTATTCTCCAAACTCAAAGTACATTGAAAAGTAACATGATGTGGGTCCCTTGAGGATGTGAAAACTGCTGTTTGGGTGGTAGAAATGGAAGCACTCAGCAGTCTTCCGGGAAGAGGTAGAGATGGAAACACTGCCTTTGGAAGTGTATGGACCTAGATAGGAAGGTATGTTGAACAGTAGTTTCATGTTGTCTTGTTTTAGTTGAATAAAGTTTCCATGATTTTTGTAGCAATACTTTTTGACTTACTCTTACAAGGTATTTTCCTCTCACCTGGATAGACTGCTTGCTGTTTCAGGGAGGAAATTCTGTCAGGATAAGCTCAACTGGGTTCTAAGTACCCTCATGGAGGAAGTCATTTTTGCTGCTGCTGCTGTTGTTAAGTGCCGTCGAGTCGGTTCTGACTCATAGCCACTCTGCATAGGGTTTCTGAGGCTGTAAATCTTTACGGGAGCAGAAAGCCTCATCTTTCTCCCACGGAACAGCTGGTAGTTTCGAACTGCTGACCTTGAGGTTCACAGCCCGATTTGTAACCACTACGCTACCAGAGCTCCTTCATTATGCTGTAATAGAAGGGAAAATATATTTCTTGAACTGGCCATTTTATATGAAATAATGTGCTTAATCCTCACCACAATAACAAGGAACACAATGGCTCCATATGATAAGCACTAGACTACAAACCACAAGGCATGCATTTGAGCCC